CTCACTTAACAGAGAGGGTACTTAACATGCGCCATGCATACAATTTGCTGCTTGTGGCACTCGTGTGGAATGAGGTTAGATGGGTAGCAAAGAGACAGACAGACCTTCGATGCAAAAAAAAAAAAAAAAAAAAAAAAAAAAAAAAAAAAAAAAAAAGACATCAATAATCAAGCTAATGTGGTGCAGTGGTGGCTCATACTGTATCTGTTGATTGTATTTGCAGTGGCATTGGCAACACCGACCAGCTGAGCGTGAAGGACAGTGGCAAAGGGGACAGTGACTTCAACGACAGTGACTCTGATATCAGTGGCGATGGAGGAAAGAAGAACTTCAGCACCTTCCAACCGAGGCTAAAAAGTGAGTTTTTCCACTTTGACTTTTGAAGTTTTGACATCACACACCTCTGAATAAAACATAAAAATTCAAAACATTCACCAGAATGACATAAAAGATGAATGGTGGTAATGTATTATCTACACCAACAATTTCTCATCCTCATTTTTTAAAAATCTATTTCATTGTTATCTCAGGTTCATCCAGCGCTGCTAACAGCTTATCTGGGGATTGCCAAGGCACCTACTGTGCAATACCATCACAGAGCTTCAGAACCCCCAGAGACAGCGCATACACCATAGGCTTCTCCCCAGTGCCGGTCTTCAACAGTCCTCATGGCTTCCCCCACTCATGGAAGGACTCTGCTTATGGCACAAATCGGCCAAAGTCAAGGAGCAGCATGCAGACCTATTCCAGGACTGGAACCCTCCCTTCCTACTTTCCTCAGCAGCAGCATGACTCTGGTGTCGGAGGTGCTGAAATCCACAAGCAGACTCCAAATTTTGTAACCGTGGCGACAGCATCAGAGGTTGCGACTATCTTTTAAAGTTGTAAAATAAGCTTGTTAAGATGTTCCTGGAAGATGTAAATATTTGTAAAGCTGGTTCTCGTTATATGATTATAAGGTGTACCTATATTTTCTTGATGAGCAGAGTTTGTTTATTTATGTCACATTATTTGAGTTTCAGTATACTGTATGTTATAATGCACAATGATGTTTCCTTTTCCATTAAAAGGGCAATTGAAATGATGAAAAAATGTCATTTATTCAACAATATTACCAAATACGATGATGTGACTAATATAATGAAACGAGACGATGAATCATTTTAATTGAGAAACATCCGATTTTGAGGATGAAATATTATTCCCTTGCCATCAGAAATCCCAGGCTGAATATGTAAACATGTAGAACTCTTCACCCAGTTCGAGTCTACATGATCAAGACTCCAGTCAGTGATGATCAGATGTAAAATCTCAAGCTGCACCGTTACCTGGGAGACTGGCTTTGAAGACTCCTTGGTTGCTCAGTTGAGTTTCTTGCATGTAAATGAGAGAGTAGAGCTGGTACTCAAGTGGAAAATAAAGTATAAACCATTATTTCTACAAAATCATGCTGGCTGCTGTCACACCTGCTTCAGGTCTTCTGCATAATTTGCATCACCTTACACAACACAACACAACACAACACGTATTATGTTGCTACACAAATTCCCAACTGTCATTTGTTGCTATTAGGGGGCAAATGTTCAGCTTTTGTATATAAATCCTTCTGTCTTAGCCCAGCAAAATGGGACTAAATATTCACAAGGTGAAGTGCTGTTTACTCATGTAGATCTTCCTCTGAACACTCTGACATTGATAAGGAACTTGCTTGCCTGGCTGTACTCTCATATTTGTAGAGCTGGTCACTATTATTGAGTTTAATTCAACCATGAATATGTAGGGCAAGTGCAAACTGTCTCTGGTCCCGGATGATTTATTGATGAGACATTGATGAGTTTAAAAACCATCCCCAACACCAGCCTAAATACGGGTTATCAGTTCTCCATCCTTTGTGTGTAGCTGTGGCATAAAAATTATACAGCATTCGCACTATTTTCAATCTTAAAACACACGTTTTTGCTTACATCTCCCAAAATAGAGCAGCAACAGGATCGGATGAAAGTAAATCCAGGACACGCAGTTGCAAGAAACCAAGAAAGTCTAAGTAAATTATGCAAGGAAAAATCAATTAAATACATCTCTCAATCAAGGGACAATGTCCATGGGGAAGAGCAGAGGTTTTTCATCAACAACTTCAAATGTACAGGCCTTGCTTTAATATTGTGTTTCATCAACATTTTAGAATTTGCTCTCAGGCTCAGTGACTGAAAGGCTAACAGAAAATATGGGTTTTAAACAATATTCAATATCTGCTGGTTTTCATCTGCTCGTGTAGAAGTCTGTCACAGTATCCCATCCTCGTTATTTTTAAGGTCACTTCAAATGAGCCTGTGATGTGTGAGAGTAAATGAGACAAGAGTAAAGGGCTGTTACAAATTACATAATAGTCATCTGAGGGCCAGTCCTGAAGAGAAAATAAATACTTTCTAAATCTGCTGCCAAGGAAGAGCCATCAGTGGAAGCTGATGGCAGCATGAGCCATTATTGTTTTTTTTTTTTCTGTTCATCTGCAGGAAAAGGGGCTAAGAGCTGTGCTCATTTGCATAAGCATAAATACCTGCTTTGTGGTTTTTGATAGCTGTGATAAAAGAGGAAATGGAGTGGATTAGATTCTTTTAACATAACTATAAAGCACTAAACAGAGTCCTCACACGTTGCCACAATATGCCTCAGGAATAGAAGAGGATGTTCAAAACTAATTCCATATTTACCCTGACCTGACCACTAGTTTTATTTAATACTTCTATTCTGGAAAGTCATTGCAGTTTGGAAATTGTAAAGTTATTAATTTTATTTTAGACATAGACTCCACTGAGGATTCAAGGCCGTGCAGTACAAAAGGCAAGCAATAAGAAAGAAGGTCATATTTGTGCCCCCAGTGATGTGCACTGGTCTGACAGATAGCCAATTGTACGCAGAGGGAAAATACATTTATCAATCAATACAATATAGCTCCCTTCATCATTGCTTTATATGCTCCTTGTAGGTCAAATAGTTGTGCAATGACCTGACAATTTGCCACGAGGTATATTCATTTGCCCAGTCTGTGTGTCTGTTTGAAAAGCCATTGCTGATAGACACTGTGCTCATTCATATCCAAATGGACTACACATTAATGTCCTGCAGCAGCTCTCACAGCACATTTGAAATCTCCCCAGGTAATACAAATGAGTGTTTTAGAGCCGGTTTTCAGCTCCTCAGCAGTCCGCTGACAAATGAGTCAGAACTGCACACATCATTTCTATCCCCTGCACCTGTTGGTGTTGGGTTTATTTGTGATAAATGGCTAACTGGATGACTGTGATTATGTTTTTATGGCCTCTTAGCATCTCAACTTTGGGGCACAATTCCCCATTGTACCCAGCATGTAAAAGATGGAGCCTTCCTGAATCGATATCATTTGGCGCTTCAGGCTCATCCCACAATGCAGTGTTTTGTACTACTTGCACCTCATCTTCATCTTTGTCTCAACTGCCAAGTGTAGATATTGACTTTTGGAGGCTTTGAATTGTGGGGCTGATGTGAAAAAAACAACAAAAAAAAAAACACAATTTGTTTTTCCACTTGACAGTTTTTCTAGGAGAAGAACTTGAATCTGTGTTCATTTGCCATTAAGATGCTGTTTGCATCATTTACAGGTTATATTAGACCAAGTTCACTGCCATATTGATCTCTGTTACTTAGGATAGTTAAAACATGAGATATGTTGAAGGAAAAAGCAACAATTTCTACTAAAGAGTAGGCCGTGGAAAGAATCAATCCTCTGTTAGATGCCTGGATTTGTTCTTTAGTCTTTTGTGACAATGTGAGAAAATTACAAACACAGGTTTAGAGTTTAATCGTTCATTCTCCAGGCCAGTGCAGCAGGTGCTGGCAGTAATTTAAAGGAATAGTGAGTTATTTTGGAGAATATGCATACTCGCTTAGGTGTATTTCCCAAAATGTGGAACTATAATTTTAACCTAAAACTCACCCATTTAGGGCGTTTTCTTCTGTTTTCCTGCCCACTTGAATTATTCCAAAAATATTCAAATCTTCTCATGCTAATCTGAGCTGAAGAGCATCAATTTCTCTCTATGCCAAATTATGCCATATGCTCGTGCCTGGAAAAGTAGCTACAAAGATATTCAAGTGGGAATCTGGGTCCGGGGTTTGGATCACCACCACCAAGCCGCCCACTGTGCTAAACATGTCAGAGCCTCGGTCTGCGGTCACAGGGCACTGATTTCAGTTGTACCGGCTCTAACTTCAATTCTAAGTAAGTATCACAAAATATGGATGTTCAAATAATAAGATGTTTTTCTCTTATAATCATTTTGTTCAGCTGTTGCAAAGTCATGTGTTTGTTTTGTTTTAAGTTAGCCACTGCATTGACACTATTATTAAGGGTGATATTAACACATTTTAGCCTACATTTTTTCCCCAAACACTGTAATGTGTTAATATTGCATTAAAGTGTGATATTAATTAACTATTCTTAGAAGTGCAAACTGCAACTAAACTTTGCAAAATTGAACACATTTGTCCACTAAATGTGAAAGCCATTTTAGGTATAAATAAATGTAACGCAAAAAAACAAAATAAACAACTTTGATTATGATATGAGTTTTTGTTTCCTCTTTGAGCATACAAATATAATTTGTATACAGATAACAAATGAGGTGCTGTGTTCCGTTCTCTCTAGACATCTTTGCTTGTACGATTTTGAACATAGTCATTTCATCTGATTGATATGTTTATGATATATCTATTGCTTTAAAACGACATGTTAGATTTCTTTCATTTTCCAGCTGTCTGCTGTCAGATACCGATAATGAAAAAGAGAGAGAAGTAGTAAGATACTAACATCAGAGATAGTAAAAAAAAGAGAAAAGAATCCAAAGGTTCATTTCAAAGGAAATGTTGCCAGATGATTTGATGCAGAGGTCTCATAGTCATCAATCATGACTGTTTTTACATTATTATTGCAGGTTCTTCCTCGATTTGTAAATGTTCCACACAGAGGAAAAATGGCAGGTTCTCACTGATGAGCTGGACACAATGTAAGTAAAAGGCTGGTTACGTTGAAAGTTACAGTATGCAACTCATCTAGATGAATAGCCCTTTGAAATAATACTTTTTGTTTCTGTGCAGAATATTCTGCAGACAGTGCTGCAATCATAGATTCATGCAGCTGGAGTAAACTTGCCTAGACTCACACTGTTATTTGAGAAAGTGTTACAGGCCAGATTAATCAGTAGAGGCTGTACTGTATGCAGCCTGTGGCAGCACTAAATGTCTGTTCTATTTTGGTTCTCGTACCACTAGGGGGAAACATTATGCTATGCAACCTCAAAAAATTACAGGCTACCCAAACATAATTTACACATATGGGGCACAGTTGTGTACAGCAAGATGGCTAAGACCTGAACAGTTTGGTTCAACAAAACTAAATAGCATATTCAGCTTATTGCTATTGGGACTGGTTCATTAGAAGTAGAAAATCTTTCTCTGCTAAAGCAGGGACGTGTAATTCATGAGCTCTTGCCAACGCCATTATAAAACATCAGTTTTTAATGGAGTTCTGCTGAGTGTCAAAGGAGGCCTGTGTTCAACAACAACACCAGGTAATGCAGAAGCAATGTGTCAGTACTTTTACATTCTCGCTGCTGCTTCAGACACGTTGCTTCTTTGTGCGGCCAATGCATTCTGGAACAGGTTCACCAGGCAGCACTATTGTCCTGTTTACATAGTTTCATCTCAGTCAAGGGTGGCATCATGTGGAGGGTAAAAGATATGTTGCATTCAAGTCTGGTGAACAAACACAATGTGAGTGCACTTTGATGGGCTCTGGCAATCAGACCATCAAGTGCTCATTTTCAGCTGAAGCACATCTACGAG